TAAGGGTTAACTAACAGCAAGAAATCAGTACATAGTTTCCTTATTATCTATTATTTAATAATTCGATATGTAATTTGGCAGAATCTGCAGAAAGTTTCCTATACTTTAAGCAATCTTCGTTTAAAGAAGAAGTTAAAAAAACACTTATTTATATTTATTATTCTTCACAGAATTTATATTCAACAAAACACATTCAACAAATTTTCAATACCCGTACATCTATAATAAACCACCAATAGAAAAATAACTTTCATACATATAAAAAGCTAACATAAAAATTAACATTGAATTAACATTTAATATATAAAAAATCAATTCGTTTCGACTAGTTGGTACTGTCGCCGGAAAACTGCCGTAAAGGGTTAACAAACCTAAGATCATCTGCAGCGAATAAGCAATCGATTTCAATTTCTCCAAAAACCGAAGGAACTCCGACGTCCGCGAAGATGAAGAAATAGACGTCAAGTTGCCTCTATTAGAAACTCCATTTGCTTCGGTTTTTGCGAGCGCCGAGGCGGCCCTAATGCCAACGAAAGTCGATTATCAGCTGACAGGAGGCGTTCAACCGGTGCAATTTGAATAAAACGAATCGCGGTTTATTCGTCTCGCTTTTTCCTAACGCAGCGCCCGTCCCCGGCGCTGAAAGTTGAGGAATTAGCTGACAGGCCGCGTTCATCGCGCGAAAGAGTAAGTTTTCTCCGGGTAATTCCCGGCGCGGCGTAAATCTGTTGAACGGGGAGCGCGGCAGTTCCGTGTATGTACCATTGGGCCACGGCAGATGCATGCGAAAACGACAACGAGATGCGAAAGTCCGCGTTTTATGACCGTATCCGAAGCGCTAACGATCGGAACGTTTCCTCGTCTAGGTGACTATAATTCAACGAATCCCGTAAGACGCGGTGAAACATAATGGCCTCGAACTTTCGCGCGACTTCGGTTCTATTGGAAACCGGTGAAACACGTGGAAAATCTTTCGATTTCAATCGAATCGATCGATAAGTGTTCGGTAACGTTAGATACGTTGGTAAATGATTCCTGTTAACACATTGCGTACCGGAAACGAGCAATCTCGTTTTTATTTGAACCTGTTTCTGTAATTTTACGAACTACCACGCCATTTAACGCGTTGAACGTCGCGCGATTTCATAGAGCGAAATACGCAAAATGGAAAAGATATAATATTAAATCATTTGATTGAATCGCGTTGTTATTATCGCACCACGTTAGGTAGCATAATTTATAATATAGAAGTATTTCTAAATAATCGTCGTTCAATTGAGTGAATTACAGTAATTTTGGTATGGCATACAACGTGTTAAAGAAATATTAAATTTTATTAGAACTGATTACTTGTTTAATACTTATGAAATAAGTGTTATATATAATATTAAGTTTTATGTAATGCGTCTATATGTGAAATATTTATATAGAATAGCTTTGTTTCTTAATTTACGTTTCAAATAGTGTCTACGTCTCGTCGAAAGTGTCGAATGTTTCTTATGAAAAGCTTCCGAGTGCAAAAGGTTACTCGCGTTAAATGCTCGGTAATTCTAGTGTTAATATTACTATCTTTTCTATCTTACTACATTTTCCTCATAACAATTCTTCATGAAAATCCATCTTTAAAAGAAAATGAATAACATCACAGTCTTTTATTTGAAAAAACAAAATAGCCGATACTGCCATCTATTCCTTCAAAAAAGAAACTAAATATTACAATCTATTAAACATCGCAATCCCTTCCACAAAAAAATATCACTACCATCCCAATCTTGACGCTTCAAAACCAACAAACAGAGCTCAAGATCAGCAATCAACTGTTCCTGCCAATTACCCACAATGAATACAAACCGATTTGCCCCATCGTCCCACGCCTAACCAGCAACATCAACTTCATTCGCGCTTCCTAAAATTTCACTTTCCAATAATCCTTTTCGAAAGCACGGCGAACAAGGATTCAATCGACGCGCAACATCGGTAATAAAAGAAGGAAACGAACGGAACGAGAAGGCGGCGCAGCCGAAAAATCGCGGATCGTTTTCTCGCTGGCAGCACAAGCTTAATTGCGCGGATCCCGTTCTAACGAAGTTGCGGGAAAGAAGTTAATAAACCCGCTCGAGGAGCAATCAACGCCAATCCATCAGTTATACTCCGCTGCGTAAAATGTAGCTCGCAGCTCTTACAAGGAAGAGGCCGGCTGTCGTTACCTAGAGTTACCGGCCGGCGTGAAATCTTTATCTGGCCGGGCGGCAGCGAACCGATCGTAGATCCCGCCGGTTGTGTCCCTTCGGCAACGCTGGCCCGTCACCTGTCGTGATCGAGCGATCGAATCTCTAGGATTGAAAATGGAAGAGGAAAAAGAAGAGGTGCGCGCCGAAGAACCACCTATTCCGCAACAACCGATCATCGAACTGACTGATCGAACCGATCCCAGCTAGAGCGGCGCAACGATGAAACGATCTTCCCTTCGCGGAACGCTTTCGCTCTTTCCGCGGCGCCGATCCCGAGGAGGATGCAGTTTCTCCGGTCGATTTGCTCGCGCTAGGCGGTTCGTAAATCGTTCTGAAGTTACTCGACGTTTCTTCTTAGCCGAGAGTTTCCCCTCCGCTCGGGCTGCGAACGTCTTTCTTTGGATCATCTGGCGTTGCTGAATGATCGAGAGCGTTTGTAGATTGAATTGAAATTTCATCCTTGCCTGTCGACAGCTGGGCATGCTTCTAATTTGTTTCGGAACACGTTCCCGATGGTGTATCGTAGGTTTAATTGGATTATGAGTTTATTTGAGAGCTGGGAGATGCGAAACTGGTTATTGGTGGTTTATCCTTCGTCTGAGAGAGGTGCTTCGTTCTGATTCGTTGGCTTGAAATAGTTGTGTAGATATAGTTCGAAGACAGTATCGATAGTGGTGTTTGATTTTTATTTGGAAGAAATTAATTCTAGATATAATTTTACTTTTAACTATTTTATTTGGGTTATTGTTGATTTATCCCTCATCTAAGAGCAGATATGCTTTACTCTTATTCATTAGCTTGAAGTATTTGTGTAGACATATTTTGAAGGAAGTATTCATAGTAGCATTTGATTTTTATTTAGAAGAAATGAATTTTAGATATAATTTTACTATTGACTATTTTATTTGGATTATATTGATAGCTGATTATTGTTAATTTATCCTTTATCTAAGAAAGGTGCTTTATTCTTATTCATTAGCTTGAAGTATTTGTGTAGACATATTTCGAAGGAAGTATTGATGGTAGCATTTGATTTTTATTTAGAAGAAATGAATTCTAGATATAATTTTACTATTAATATTTTATTTGGATTATACTGATAGCTGATTATTGTTGATTCATCCTTTATCTAAGAGAAGAGGTACTTTACTCATATTTGTTGGCTTGAAACGTTCGTGTAGGTATATTTTGAAAAAAGTATTGATAGTAGTGTTTAATTTTTATTTAGAAGAAATGAATTCTAGCTATAATTTTGTTAACTATTTCGTTTGGATTATAAACCGAAGCTGTGATTCGTTTGTAGAGCATAAAATCGTGTATCGAAGTGGCAATGTCGGTTCGAGTGATAGAAACCAGAGGAGAGTGTCTAACGATCAGCCACTAAGGAGGTCAGCTAGCCGCAGTTGATGGCATAATTCAAGGATCGAGTGGATCTGTCTAGGAAAGTGGCGTAAAAGCGAACGAAAAGGAAAAACGAGGCGCGCGCCGTCACGTTGGAAAGTGTAACCTTATCTGCGCTCGCGAAAATATGAAACAGGTTGTCGTTGACTGACTGCGGAAACGCGCGGCCCTGCCTCGTCGGAAGATTAACTTGGTAATTAAACGAGACCCGGTACGGCGCGTCGAGCGGTCGTGATGCTCCTATTTTACGATTCGATCGTGTCACGATTAATGGAGGATGTGGCGAGAAAGTAGCCCCGATTAGAGGAAGATTTGCCCGGATATGTCGGAACTGAGAATTATTCGGATGGCGTGTATCAACTGTAATCTTTCGTTTAGCATACATAGTAGGTTCTTCGATCACTAGATCCGTAATGGTTCAATTTTGGTCTAGTTTAAGTATTACATTAGGATATTATGCTTCCAATTTTCTTGTACCTCGTAGATCTCTGATAAACATCGAATTCGTATTTCTTAAGTCTTAATGATCAAATATATCAGTGATACGATCGAATAGAATTTCACTTACTTTACTACACATTTTACCGCGTTCAGTTTAATATATAGTAATTAATTTCACTCAAATGTTCATCGCAGAAGTTCAGAAAAACCGAGTATTTGACTTTATTCAAATGTTCACTTTTGAAATTTAGGAAAAGTGGGTACTTGGCTTTATGCAATTTCTCACCATTGAAGAGTGGGAAATGTGAGTACTAGACTTTATTCAAATGTTTATTTTCGAAATTTAGGCGAAGCGAGTACTTGACTTTATTCAAATGTTCACCTTTGTAATTTAGGAAAACCGAGTACTTGACTTTATTCAAATGTTCACTTTTGAAATTTAGGAAAAGTGGGTACTTGGCTTTATTCAAATTCTCACCATTGAAGAATAGAAAAAGTGTGTATTAGATTTTATTCTAACGTTCACCTTTGGAATTCAGGAAAAGTGGGTACTTGGCTTTATTCAAATTTTCACCATTGAAGTTTAGGAAAGTGAGTATTAGACTTTACTCAAATGTTTATTTTCGAAGTTTAGGAAAAGTGAGTGCTTAACTTCATCCAAATATTCACGTTCAAAGTTTCCTAAAACCTAGCACTTAACTTCATCCAAAACCCAACAACTGAACACCACGAAATCCCGTACTCGATCCTCAATCAAACCCCACCAGCCCGTTGCGCAAACTCGTAAGCTTCGACAAGATAATTACATCGTCCACTCGACAAACAAACGCTCGTCAAGCAAACGATCCCAGATTCGAAAGTTCGAGTCCCGCCGGCATCCTCCGGGGATACTCCAGGTAGCATCGAATTTATCTAACAAGCACTCACCAACTAGCGTTCCCGAGTTCCTCCGGCCAGTCACCTCGCTCCTATTCTTCCTGTGTATTCCCTTTCCACTTCAACGAACGGTCCACTTCTCCTCAACACTACCACCGGCACACACGTACAACATGTACACACACGCGCACTGTGATTCTCACTTTCCGCGGCTCGGATATTCGATCGGATCGAACGGTCTCCGCCTGCACGTGGTCCACGGTACCCTCTAACGAGCGCCGGAGTCGCTCGATAAACGCGCGATTAATCGAACGTGCCGCGTTCGTTATCGTCCGTCCGCCGTGTAACTTTCCCGTCAGCCCGCGAAGATAATTCTGAGCGGCCGGCCCAGTCTACCCGAAGCCCCGACACGTTAAATCGCGCAAGAAATCCAGGTTGGACGTGCGCCGACCTGAAGCCTCAGAACCCGCGTCCCTGACCCGCTCAACCGGCGGCCTCGATGAATCACTCGGCCAGGAGATCTTCAGGAAGACAATCGACGAAAGTTCTCAGCCGGCTGGACGCGCTCGAGAGAACTTGAACCTCTTTTCAATTCACTCCTCCAACCGCTCGCTCGGCTCCCCCTTTTATTTCACGGGGAATTGTGTCTGTCGGGAGTCGTCCAATTTTACTGCGCGCTCGTACCGCGCTATCTTGATCCCCTGTTGCACTGTTCCTCGAGTCTCGGGACACTTTCTCGGAGTTCTTGTCATGGACACTGAAATTATGAGGATAATTGCTTGAGAATGGGGATATTCGAGGCTCTCCGATTCGGTTCTGGGACCTTCGTGAAATCGAGGCTTTGATATTGATTAGATTCGTTTGATAGGACTTGGATCTGTTTCGCTCGTTTCACTTTGGAATTGTTGAACGTTTAAACCGGCGTTAGGGTTTTAGGTTGATAGTTTGTGAAAGTGATTCGAGAGAGTTTCATAACTGAAAACTGAGAAGGGGATTGTTTAATATGTAGATCGTTCATTTACGTAACAGCGAATTTTTCAAGTGAATCATCTTGTCTGTGATCTTCGGTGATTGAAGTCCTCCAGCGGGTTGTCAACGTCTGCGCGCTGCGCTAGTCATTTACCTATACGCTCGCTGACAAATTACGGTTTATCGGCGGTGGTATCTGTACACGATGATTTATTGTTACGTCGAGCCTCATCGACTCGCGAATAACTCCATAAAGTTCATGGTTTATGTGTTATAATCTAGGACTACACTTATTCTGACTCTCGATCTTATCTCGATCTTTGTACTGAATCTCGCTCCATGTTTCTATGATTGAAACTTCGAAAACAAATTTTCCTAATGTTGAAGTTTTCCTTAAGAGTCGAAAAGTTCACGAGCGTATTTTCATTATGGTTCATTTGAGAACTGCGGAATCATTCACTTTCCCGGAAACTCCATCTTGCTGGATCACTCTCGATCGACGAGTTCGAGTTCGCTGAGAAGGGACTTTCAAACGGCGAGCCCTCTTCTTTGACGACTGCAATGTTCCAATGGTCACAGTTCTCTCACTTCTCAGACTGTGTTGTTGTCTGATCACAATACTCTAGGAATCGCAATCCTTCGACGTTCACAATTCCGAAAATCGTAATTTTATAACCATAACGACTCCTCCGCTGTCTCAGTTCTTCGATCACAGTTCTCCAAGTATCCCGATTCTGCGAGAATCACAATCCTCTCACTGTCTCAATCCTCTGCGAGTCACAATTCTCCAAGTGTCTCGATTCTGCGAGAATCACAATTCTCTCACTGCCTCAATACTCTGAATCACAATTCTCCAAGTATCTCAATTCTGCGACAATCACAATCCTCTCACTGTCTCAATCCTCTGCGAGTCACAATTCTCCAATTATCTCGATTCTGCGAGAATCACAATTCTCCAACGATCTCGATTCTGCGAGGATCACAATTCTCTCACT